TAATTTATTTTAAATGGACAAATTTCAAGAAAGAAACAGTCTTCATCTATTTGAACTACTATAACAAAAATACCTTAGACTGAGTAATTTACAAACAATAGAAATTTATTTCTCATGGACAGTTCTGGACCTGGCAAGTCCAAGACCAAAGTGCTGGTACATTCTGTGCCTGGTAAGGGCTTGGTCTCTGCTTCATAGATGGCATTTCCCCTGTTTTCATACAGTGGAAGGACAAACAGCTCCCTCACACCTCTACGAACACTGATTCCATCGTTGAGGCCTCCTCCTTTATGATTTAATCATCTCCCAGAGGCCCCACCTTTTAATACTATTACATTGGCAATTAAGTTTCGACATGAATTTCGGAGTGACACATTTAGACAACAGAAGACACAATTGATCAAAACTGACTTAATAAGTGGAAAATCTACACAGAACTACAATAAGTAATTTTTATTAAAAATATTCTCACAAGAAAATCCCAGGCCCAGATGCATTCACTAGGGATTTTGATCATTTTAAGGAACTATCACTGATCCTTCACAAATTCTTCCAGAAAATAAAGGAGGAGGACACATTTCCCAACTTATTCTATGAGCACAAAATTATTCTGATAGCAAAGTCAGAGAGAGATATCACAAGAAAACTTGGTAATACTCGTATATATACAGGAATATACATCATGACAAAGTGGGATTTGTCCCAGAAATGCATGGTTGGTTTAACATCTGCAAATTAATATACCACATAAAGACACACACACATAAATACTCCAAACACCTCATGTATGATTTTTTCAAAAGACAGAAAACACTGGAACAGAGCCCAGAAATAGATCCACATAAATACAGTCAACTGATCTTTGATAAAAGTGCAAAAGCAATTCAACGGAGAAAAGATAGTTTTATCAACAAATGGTGCTAGAACAACTGGACAACTTCATGTTGAAAAAATAAATCTAGGACAGACCTTACATCTTTCATAATTATTTACTCAAAACATATTAAACACCTATGTGTAAAACACAAAAATAGAAGACCTTTAGAGGATAACACCGGAGAAAACACAGATGACCTTGGTTCTAGCAATGACTTTTTAGATAGAAAAGCAAAAACACAATCCATGAAGAAAAAAAAAACAGGTAAGTTGGACTTGACTAAAATTTAAAATATCTGCTCCGCAAAAGACACTGTTAATACCAACCAGGGGCAGTGGCTCATGCCTGTAATCCCAGCACTTCGGGAGGTGGAGGCGAGAAGATTGGCTAAGACAAGAGGTTCAAGATTAACCTGGGCAACTTGGCAAGACCTTGTCTCTACAATAAATCAAAAAATTAACTGGTGTGGTGGCATGCACCTGTGATTCCAGCTACTTGGAAGGCTGAGGCAGAAGGATAGCCTGAGCCCAGCAGGTCGAGGCTGCAGTGACCATGAGCATGCCACTGTACTCCAGCCTGGATGACAGAGTGAGATTCCAACTCCAAAAAAAAAAAAAAGAATATGAAAAGATGCTCCAATCTCATTCACTATAGCCACAAAAAAATGAAATACCTCGGCATCTTCCTAACCAAAGAAGTGAAAGACCTTTACAATGAGAACTACAAAACACTGCTCAAAGAAATCCAAGAAGACACAAACAAATTGAAAAATATCCCATGCTCTTGGATAGGAAGGATTGACAATGTTAAAATGTCCATCCTACCAAAGGCAATCTACAGATTCAACGCAATACCCATTAAGTTACCAACATCCATTCTTCTCAGACCTGGAAATGACAACAAAGAAATTCATATGGAAACATAAACGACCACGAATAACCAAAACAATCCTTAGCAAAAGAAACAAAGCAGGAGGTATCACACTTCCAGACATCAAACATTACTATAAGGCTACAGTAACCAAAACAGTCTGGTATTGATACAAGAACATAGACCAATGGAACAGGACAGAGATTCCAGAAGAAAAGCCTCAATTTCTCAACCAATTCATCTTTGACAAAGCCTCCAACAACCACCACTGGGGAGAGGAGGACCTATTCAGTAAATGGTGCTGGAAAACTGGCTGACCGCATGCAGATGATTGAAACAAGACCCCTACCTATCACCATACACAAAAATTAACTCTAAATGGATCAATGACCTAAACATAAAACCTCAAACTATAAGAATCTTAGAAAGCACAGGAGACACCGTTATGGAAATTGGAACTGGCAACAAATTCCTATTCAGAATCCTAAATGCCAATACCTGAAGAAATAAGATAGACAAGTGGGATCTCATCAAACTAATGAGCTTCTGGAAAGCAAAAGAAACCATCAAGAGATCAGGGAGACAGCCCACAGAATGGGAAAAAATATTTGCCAACTGTATATCTGACAAAGGCCTAATATCTAGGATCTACAAGGAACTCAAAAGCGCCGAAAGGAAAAAAACAAACAACTCCATTAAAAAGTGAGCAAAAGACATGAAGAGATACTTCTCAAAAGAAGATATATGGGAGGCCAATAGACACATGAAAAAGTGCTCAGTCTCACTCATCATCAGAGAAATGCAAATCAAAACCACATTGAGATACCACCTAACCCCAGTAAGAATGGCCATAATTAATAAAATAAACAACAATAGATGCCGGCAAGGATGTGGAGAAAAAGCAACACTTCTAGACTCCTGGTGGGACTGCAAACTAGTGCAACCTCTTTGGAAGACAGTGTGGCAATTTCTGAAAGAACTAGAAATTGGCCTTCCACATGACTCAGCAATTCCCCATTGGGAATATACCTGGAGGAATTCAAATCATTTCTACAAAAAAGACAACTGCACATGTATGTTTGTTGCAGCTCTATTCACAATAGCAAAAACATGGAACCAACCATGCTGCCCATTGAAAGTGGACTGGATAAAAAAAAAATGTGGTTCATATACACAATGGAATATTACGCAGTCATAATGAACGACGAATATATGGACTTCGTAGCAACTTGGATGGATTCAGAGTCGATCATATTCAGTGATCTACCACAGAAACAAAAAACAGAGTACCATATGTTCTCACTCATACTATACACTGTAATACTATAAGAAAAGGATTGGCAGTAAGGGGAAACTGTCAGGCGAGGGGGGGGTGGGATTGGTAGATGAGGGAAACTGCTAGGGGAGGGAGGGGCATACCTCATCAACAAGGGTACCAGCATAACCGTTTGTATACCTAACCCTGAATTGTACCCCACATTTTTATAATAAAATAAAATAGACAATAACCAAAAAGAAAAAATGCTCATCATGTATCATTAAGGCATCGCAAATTAAATCAACAATGGCAGACGACGATACAGCTACTTGAATGGCATTTTAAAACTCAAAATACTGACAATACCAACATTTTTTTTCCCTTTGTTTTGTGAGTCAGAGTCTCACTGTGTTACCCAGACTGGAGTGCAGTGGCATGATCACAGACACTGCAGAGATCCATTCTGTCACTTAGTTTGGAGTGCAGCAGCACAATCACAGCTAGCACAGCCTCAACCTGCTGGGCTCAGGTGATCCTTCCACCTCAGCTTTTTTTTTTTGAGTTTGGAGTCTCACTCTGTCGCCCAGGCTGGAGTGCAGCTACCACAGCCTTGACCTGCTGGGCTCAGGCGATCCTTCCACCACAGCCTTAACCTGCTGGGTTCAGGCGATCCTTCCACCTCAGCCTTCCAAGTAGCCAGAACTACAGAGGTGTGCTACCATGCCCGGCTCATTTTTTGATTTATTGTAGAGTTGAGGTCTTGCCAAGTTGCCCAGGCTGATCTCAAACCCATAGGCTCAGGAAATTCTCTTACCTTGGCCTCCCAAAGTGCTGGGATTACAAGATTGAGCCACCATGCCTGGTCCCACCACCTCAGCCTTTAAAGCTGCTGGGACTACAGGCTCACGCCACCCACCATGCCCAGCTAATTTTTTAATTTATTGTGGAGATGAGGTCTTGCCAAGTTGCCCAGGCTGGTCTTGAACCCCTGGACTTATACAATCCTCCTGCCTCTGCCTCCCAAAGAGCTGGGATTACAGGCATGCTACCATGCCTGACTAAATATATTCTTAATATATGACCCAGCAAATAGTGCACTTTGGAATGTACTCAGGTGAAAATATATGTTCACACAAAAACTGTACACAAGCCAGGTTTGGTGGCTCAGCCTGTAATCCCGTGCCTTTGGGAGGCTGAGGTGAGTGGATTGCCTGAGCCCCTGGGTTCGAGACCCACCAGGGCGACTTGGTGAGACCTCATCTCTACAATAAATCAAAAAATTAGCTGGGCATGGTAGCGCGGACCTGTAGTTCCAGCTACTCAGAAGGCTGAGGCGGAAGGCTCGCCGGAGTCCAGCAGGTCAAGGCTGCAGTGGCCGGGAGCAGCCACTGCACTCTAGTCTGGGTGACAGAGTGAGACTCCAACTCAAAAAAAAAAACTGTACACAAATGTAGCAATTTTATTCATAACTGTTCACATCTGAAAGCAACTAATATGTCCTTTAATAGGTAAATGGATAAACAGTATTACCCCCATAAAATGGAGTATGATTCAGCCATATATGCATGCAAATCTTCAGAGGAGCTTTATCTGTTATAGCCAAAAACTGGAAACAACCCAAACATTTATTAACAACTAAATGGATAAAAAAGAAAAATTGTGGTATATAATGAAACCTACTCAGCAATACAAATGAACAAACCATTGATTCATGTAATAAGATAAATTAATTACAAAATAGTTATGCTTAGTGAAAAAAGCCAGAGCCCCCATTCTTCAAAAAAGTACATACCATATTCAAAAAAGTACATACAATATTATATTTATAAAATCCTAGAAAACACTTCCTTTTGCTTGTGAATTGTGGGAAGAGGGGTTAGGAAAGACTGGAAGGTAAGGATTATAAAGGAACACAAGAGATCTTGTGTTGGATATGTTATCTTGATTGTGGTGGTTTTTCACGAGTATACACATGCTGAAACATAGCACATTTAATACTTTACATGTTTACAGTTTATTGCATGTTAATCATACCTCAAGAAAGCTGCTGAGAACTAAATGTTCCCCACAAAAATCAGTACGTACTATTTTTGGAAAGTTACATCTGCCAACTATTTTGGCTCTACCTACAATTTAGGAAAGTGAGTTTTGCCTCAATATCAGCAAAAACTGGAGAGCATTAAAGTCCAAGACCATCTTCATCACTAGCAATGCTGGCTGGGTTACGGAAGCCCCATCCCTGGATCTCTCTTCTGTCCATGCTGAGGTTCCTGTTTATGCAGTGATAGCCAGAAGGTCAACTGCCCAGGGAGACCTAACAATTCACAAACATTTACATTAATATTATTATGCACTCTGACAGCAGCCTTGGTAACAAGTTACAAATGTCTGAAGGTCCTGAGAATTTCTATACACTCTCACCCTCATCCATAATTGCATGGATACTTGTGAAGGCCCCTTTGAAATGTACAAATTTCCTCATTTGCTAGTCATCTCCACTCCAATATCTCAGTGTTTCTATACCAATTATGATTCCCACCTTGCCCTGTAGGTCTGAGTCAATGGCACTCACCTATGGGAATCTGAATATCAGGGACTGGCTCTTGTAAAGGTCCAAAAGACAGCAATCTCTCAACAGTGCTGGGTAGTATGTGATAGTCAAGGGACCCAACTCATGTTGCTTCCAGAAGCACTGGAGACTTTCACATCAACAATGCCCTCTTCAGAATGAACACTGGGCTCACAGGAAATCTTGACATCCAGGTCATAGAACTAGGCACACAAACTTCAATCTTTTTTAGCAGGCCTAGGGCAACAGGGCAAATCAGGTCAAAAGAAATGTTTGCTATCATCCTGTGGTACCCTGCGAGGCACATAAAGGTGGTGCCCACAAAAAGTGTTCTTCCCTCCATGTTGACAAAATCCAATTATTTTTTCAATTCACTCTACACAGTAAACAAAATCCTCAAGAGAAAAGGCTACCACAATAGGCCATTATCACTGTATAAACCAGAGTAGTTGAGCCAGGTGCAGGGACTCATACTTGTAATCCCAGTACTTTGGAAGACAGAGGCGAGAGGACTGCCTGAGCCCAGGGGTTCAAGACTAGCCTGCGCAACTTGGTGAGACCTTGTCTCTACAATAAATTAAAAAATTAGCCAGGCATGGTGCTGCATGCCTGTGGTTCCAGCTACTTGGAAGGCTGAGGTGGAAAGACCACCTGAGCCCAGCAGGTCGAGGCTGCAGTGGCCATGAGCATGCCACTGTACATCAGCCTGGGTGACAGTGAGACTCCGACTCAAAAACAAAAACAAAAAAAACAGAGCAGCATGGGACAGGCAGTTCCAAAGTTGGGTTATTTAGCAATAGGATAAATAAGTAAAAGCTATGTTCACAAACAACATTGCCCATGAAAAAGGAAAACCTGCCAGGGAATCCCCACCAGACCCTAGCTCGGAACCTTTTGGCTAGAACTAGAGCATGTTCAATCAGAACCTAATTACAAGGGAAAAAATGTGGACCATCACTAGGCTCAGAACTCATGATTCCCTGCAGGGAATAGGAAAGAGCACAGAGGTCTGCCTTCCCTGAGCATAATGGAGTGACTGACACACATAGCTGGTATTAATAAGATGGCTTCCACCATAGGCACTGGAAGTGATATAATTGTTTAGAGCCCTGGACAGTTAGAAAGTGCAACACATCTCATGAAAGCTTCCCATTTGTGTGGTGCTTATCAGGAATCTTCCCAGAGGGGATGTATAAATATACATGTTCCACCTACTTGCTGATGGTCCTCTCACAAAGGGTACTCATAGAGCTTTTCTCTGGTGTAAGTCCTATAAGGCTAAAAAAGGAGATCACATGTTTCTCTGCATTCATAAGGCCTTTCTGTAGTGTGAATTTTCCAGTGCTAAACAAGTTTAAAAGATGCAGCTAAAGAGTCATCGAAACTGTTACACTCGCGGGGCCTTTCTCCAGTGTGAACTTTCTGGTGCCGAACAAGATGAGAGCTTCTGCTGTAGGCTTTCCCACATTTGCTGCACACATAAGGCTTTTCACCAGTGTGAACTCTCTGGTGTAGAATGAGGCTAGAGTTACGGCTAAAGAATTTTCCACATTCACTACACTCATAAGGTCTTGCTCCAGTGTGAACTTTCTTGTGTTGAACAAGGTGGGAACTACTAATATAAGCTTTCCCACATTCACTGCACACATAAGGTCTTGCTCCAGTGTGAACCCTCTGATGTAGAATAAGGCTGGAGTTGTGGCTAAAGCATTTTCCACATTCACTACACTCATAAGGCTTTGCTCCAGTGTGGATTCTCTGGTGTACAATAAGGTTGGAACTATGGCTAAAGAATTTTCCACATTCACCACACTCATAAGGCCTTTCTCCAGTGTGGATTTTTTGGTGCTGCACAAGTGTGTCTTTACGGCTGAAGGCCTTTCCACATTCACTACACTCATAAGGTCTTGCTCCAGTGTGAATTATCTGGTGCTGAACAAGCGTGTCTTTGCAGCTGAAAGCTTTCCCACATTTACTGCACACATAAGATCTTGCCCCTGTATGGACTCTACGATGTTTAATGAGGCTGGAATTATGGCTAAAGAATTTCCCACATTCAATGCATTCATAAGGCCTTGCCCCAGTGTGAATTCTCCAGTGCTCAATAAGGTGGGAGCTTTGGCTAAAGAATTTCCCACATTCGCTGCACTCATAAGGCCTTTCTCCAGTATGAAATCTCTGGTGCTGAACAAGTGTGTCTTTACGGCTGAAGGCTTTCCCACATTCATTGCACTTATATGGTCTTTCTCCGGTGTGAATTCTCTGGTGCTGAACAAGGTGGGAGCTTCTGCTGTAGGCTTTCCCACATTCATTACAATCATAAGACCTTTCTCCAGTGTGAACTCTCTGGTGCTGAACAAGTGTGTCTTTGCGACTGAAGGCCTTCCCACATTCGCTGCAAGTGTAATGTCTTTTTCCAGTGTGAAATTTCTGGTGTACTTTTAGGTGGGACAGGTGAATGAAGGCCTTTCCACACTCCTTACATACATGAGATGTTTCTCCACTGTGAATTTTTCTGTGATGAATAAGAGCTGACTTGTCCTTGAACACATTTCCACATGATAGGCATCTAAAGATTCCTTCCTTGGTATGAGTTATCTCGTTGTCAAGAAGAGTAAAGGTGTTCAGGAAGGCTTTCTCATTGTCACTGCAATTTAAAAGCATCTGTCCATCATAGTCTCCTTGGTGCTGTCCAAGACTGGGGTGTGAGAAAGACTCCAGGCACTCGGTGCTTTTGTATGCACTCACCCCATCATGAGTGGTCTGGTGCTGGAAGAGGCCAGAGCTGTCTGGTAAGTCCATTCCTTCCTCCCTGTATGTAAAGGATCTCCCTAACATATCGACTGTATAGTTCTTCACAAATGAGGCCCCTCTATCATCCCCTCTGAAGCCATTCTCCCTATGTTGCTTCTGATGCTGGTAAAATTTTTCACTGAACAAGAATCCTCTCCCGTATGGTGAACACGTGTACAGTTTCTGCATAAGGTGTGATCCCTGGTATTCAGTCAGGTGCAAAATGTCTTTCAAGAGTGGGTCACACATCTCACATGAATGGGCTTTCTGGATGAATGGACCTGACTCAGGAGTCCTGACCTGTGACACTCCTTCCATAAAATCACTCAGCTCAGAAGGTGACTCCTCATTGTTTGCTTCACACCAATAATCTGAAAGCAAAGAAATGCTGGTAAAGTGCACATTGAAAAGCAGCAGCCCCATCTCAAATGTGTGTGTAACACACCAATGACAGAGTTTCATTGGCTTTTTAGCAAGACAAGGGAGTTAGGATCAGTTTAAGGGCTAGTTGTCAGTACTGGGCCTCTAAAGATCACAAATAGAGGAACCCTAACAATGGGTAAAGACTTAATGACAATGATGGTGTACAGAATAGGGAGTAGAGATGAAGTCTCTAACTCACTCTTCTGCAAAAGTTTCAGCAGAGCGTTTGCTGCTGGTGTCAGGTGAGCTCTGTGCAGAAGTCTGGGTCCATGCCCAGAAAAATTTAACCCCAGCTTCCAGCGGTGACGACTTATCCACGAGAACATGCCTCTTGCAATGGATCTCCTTCATCCCTCTCCAGAAAAGAGGAAACACAAGAAGAAGTACCTGGTACAGAGCCCCAACTCCTACTTCATGGATGTGAAATGCCTAGGATGCTATAAAATCACTATGGTCTTCAGCCATGCACAAACAGTATTTTGTGTGTTGGTTGTTCTACTGTCCTCTGTCAGCCTACAGGAGGAAAAGCAAGGCTCACAGAAGGATGTTCCTCCAGGAGGAAACAGCACTAAAAGCAATCCAATCAAGATGAATGGGAAACCACCCCAATAAACACATTTTGGATTAAAAAAGGAGAAGAAAATTTAACTCCAATTAAGTAGCTGGTTCTCAAAGAATATTTAATGCGCACAATTCATGGCACATTAAAGTAGGCCAGTATAGCAGAGAGCAAGTGAAACATGGAGGCCAGACAAGTGGAAAAACAGCCAAGAGATGGAAGACAGGAGAGAAATGACAAGTGGATAAAGTTGCCAAGAATGAGGAAAGAAAGTAAGGTTCGGTTATGGGACTTGGCAACAAAACACAAGTGAATACAAACAGGTTAAAGTGTCCATTTGAACCCAGCTCTAACCCGACACTTCCTCCCACCTCCCATTTAGCAGGATTAGGCCCTCTCTAGATGTCTCTAACTATAGCTAAAGTAATATATCCCCTGTCAGATATCCAAGGTTTATCTATCCCTCCCCAACTAGGCAACTACATGGGATCTGGAAAATGAAGGTTGTAAAGAAAACAAAGGGCAGGTGAGTGGGGTAGACAAACTCACCCCACAGAGAAAACAAAACGTTAATTAAAAAAAAAAACCCTCCAAGGAGGATTTGGCAGAACAGCCCTATAACTGCTAAAAGAAGTGACTTTGTACCTGCAATTCCTGGCACAATCAGGCCCTAGAAAATGTCAGCTAGAGGATGGGGACAGAACCTGGGACATAGGCGTGCCAGAGATCAGAACAGTTAGTTACCTGGTCAGTGAGTGCTCAAGCTGGGTAGAATCTGCTCAGCAAACTAAAAAACTCCTGAATTCCTGGCCCTTTCCTTCAAGGCTTTAGGGCAACAGATGTTGGGACTACCTAGCAAGAGAGGGGACACTGCACACAGCCCAGCCCACCCATGGCAGCCCACCCACAGCAGCTACTCTGGTAAACTAAGAAGGAAAAGAGTCACTAATTTGACTGGACAGAAAGAAGTGCCCATGGGAAACAGGGGAAGACCCAAACCCTACCAAGGTCACTGAAATGGGTGTGAAGGGCTGTGTAAGACAGCCCCTGAAATGGCCCCCAGTGATCCCTACACTTCTGGTTACTCTTGCCTTTGTGTAAGCATCTTCCTTTGATTGTAGGCTGGACAGACTGACTCATTTCTAAGGAATATGGCAAAAATGATAGAATGTCACTTTTGAGATCAGGTTATAATCTTGGGCTTCCATCCTGAACACTTTCCTGTTCACTTGCTCAGAGAGAGGCCAGCACCCATGCTATGAGGTTCACTACAGAAAGGCCAAGCCTCTGATCAACAGCAAGTAACTAATGCTTACAATCCAAGAAGCCCAAGAAACTAAAGCAAACAACTACATGAGTAGCTTATAAGTGGATTCTTTCTGAGATGGGCCTTTTAATGAGATCACAACTCTGGCTGAGACCTTGACTGAAACCTCATGAGAACAAAAAGAACCCCTATAAGCTGTGACCAGGCTTTCAGTGCACTGAAACTAGGAGATAATAAGTTTGTATAGTTTCAAGTCACTAACCTTTATGTAGCAAAAGATAACTAAAAAAGGGACTTACCCAGTGTGGCCACAAGTGCAAAGTTCTCCAGCATCACATCACGGTATAGGAATCTCTGCGCCTGCTCAAGGAGATCCCACTCCTCCTGGGAGAAGTATACGAATACATCCTCAAAGGTCACACAATCCTGACAGAATGAGAACAGTTGAGTTCACAGTTAGCCACTCTCCCCAGAACATCTATTCATTTAGTCTATTCATTCACATACTTGTCCCTGGTCCCTATTCTCCTCAGCCTCCCAACTAGGAAGAGATACCAGACCTTAGTACCACTAGTGTCTAAATTTTCCTCAAGTCCTTCTTACTACTGTATTCAGTCCAGAGCAGAATATGCAGGCAAATAAGCAGACAGATGCTACCTAAACTCTGGGTCTGGCAAGAAGGGTCCCAAATATTCTACCAACTAGTTCTTCTGGTGTTGTCCAGACCCAGCCAAACACAACCAGATACAATCCTATTCTTGCCCAGCCTTCTCCCATAAGCTGCCAATACTAGAGCCTAAAGACCATCAGTGCACACTCCTCCCAGCATGCACCTCATTCTTTGGATTACACCTTCCTCACACCTGGGACCCCCCCACTGCCACTGACAATCTCCTGGCCTACACCATATGTACCTCCATGGCAACCCTCAGACCCCATGCCACTCTGCATAGTGTACAGGAAATGCTCGTCTGTTTTTATAACATGCACCACTGCTAACCAGGCACCCAAACAACAGATCCAGTTTGCAGGTCCCAGTTTCACCTTTCTTATTCACTAATAGCACTGCCCCCATGACTTGAAGATGACATTCCATACCACTCCACATGCTGGCTGTCATTTTTTGAAAATCTTCAACAGAACCCGTCTGCAGAACCAAAAACCTGTGTGTCTCCTTGATGCCTCAACTAAGAGGTCACTGGGATTTCTTAAACATGACCAAAAACTAACTCCTGATATAGCCAATAAAAATTACTACTGCCTGATACAACCACCAAAAATTACTGTTGTCACCAACTTCTTCAGCTCAGTTGATGTACTTCCATCATTCTATCAGCTAAAGCAAAAACAAAACAAAAACAAACCTTGGCCAGGCACAGTGGCTCAGGTCTGTACCCCCAGCCTTTCAGGAGGGAAGAGTGCTTGAGCTCAGGAGTTCGAGATCAGCCTGGGCAACAAAGCAAAACCTCACCTCTACAGAAAAATTAAATAAACAAACCTTGTAGTTATCCATGACTCTTTCCTTTCTCTCATTCATCCTTCACATCAGAAAATCCAATCACGCTACTTAAAAAACAGGTACAATATTCATTAACTTTTCTCACCTCCACAGCCACACCCCTGGGCAAGACATCATCAACACTACCACAGTAGATTTCTCCTTCATGATCACAGTCTGTCCTCAACCTGAGAGCCAGAAGGAGCTTTTTAAGATCTTGTGTCAAATCATCTCCCTCCCCTGCTCCAAATCTTCCAAGGCTTTCACCACACTCAAGAGACACAGCTCCTAATCCAGTCATTCCAGCCTGACTCCTGCCCCTGCTCTCTGTTCCCAACAGACATAATTAAGACCTGAGGTTCCCTGAACACTCACAACAGTCCTCCTTCCAAGCATCTGCACATACTTGTCCTGCTTCAGGGCCGCCAGACTCGAATGCAAAGAAAGGGACAGGTGAAGAGTCCTGGGATATCACTGTCTCATTAGAAAATCTGGCCCGCCCTACATATGAAATATGTACAAAACCCATACGTCTCTCTAATAGATGCCACCACTCTGGCCCACCCAACACTCAACGGGACTATTTCTACAGACTCCACTCTGCCCTCCTTGTCTACTTCTACGGCCCCCAAATTTCTCCACTCTGCAGTCAGAGCACCCCCCTTCTTTGTACCAAAGCTTCCACGGCTCCCGGCACCCTCAGAAGCGAGGCCTGACCCCTGTCCCCCTGCTCTCTGTTCTCACCAAACATAACTGGGACTTCCGGTTTCTGGAACGCCCCTAATCCACGCGTTTGTTCAAGCCGGCTCCTGCACCTCGGAAACACTTCTACACCCCCTCCCATCGACATTGGGAACGAGCGCCACTCTACATACTCCGGGCGTGACCGCCCTCCACGGTCTATACGCAAGAGGAGGGGGCGAGGAGGCGAAGCGCGCCGGGACACGCCCGCCGGGTGGGCGTGGGCTCGGGGGACGCTCCACTAACCTGAACCCGGCGGGTCAGCGCCGCCGCCATGAACCTGGGCGGGCCGTGAGGCGCGGGCGAACGGGGCGCGCCCTGTGGGCTCAGCCGAAGCCCCACAGCTCCCTCGGGCTGGAGGACCCCGATGCGACAGCCGCACTCCCGGCCTCGGTCGCGATCTGACGGTCGCACTCTCGGCCTCGGCCCCGTGTGAGAACGCGCGTGCGGCTCAGGTGCCGCCTCTGGGCCCACGGGACGAACGGCGGACGCGAGGCCGCGCGTCCCACGACAGGGCCCGGGTCGTAACGGGCGCGGAGGACCGGCCTGTCCTTCTCACTGTTCTGGCTCGGCTAGGGAAGGCCGAGGAGGAAGCCGGACACGCCTACCACTCCGACTTCGCAGCCAGCGGAGACCGACCAGGCCCAGGAAAAACACGTAACTCTGGCGACGTCGGAAGTCCTGCCCCTGCTGCCGAGGAAGCGCCGGAAACGCCCTGTTCCCTGGCTGTCATTGGTCCGACGCCGGTTGCCATTGTGACGGGCACAGATTTCTGGGTAATGGAGTTTGTGCCCTGCATCCAACCAGGTACCGAGCACCCGTCGAGTTCTCGCAGTCGACAGCCAAGGGGCACCGCGCGGAGAGGGGGAGAAAGACCGGGAAATAGTATCTTGGAGTGCCAAAGCTCCTTTTATTTTATTTTTTATTTTTTGAGTTGGAGTCTCACTCTCGCCCAGACTGGAGTGCAGTGGCCAGGACCTCGACCCGCTTGGCTCCGGCGATCCTTCCGCCTCAGCCTTCCGAGTAGCTGGAACTACAGGCGCGCGCTACCACGCCCGGCTAATTTTTTTTTTTTTTTATTGTAGAGATGAGGTCTCGCCAAGTTGCCCAGGCGGGTCTCGAGCCCTCGGGCTCAGGCAATCCACTCACCTCAGCCTCCCAAGGCGCGGGATTACAGGCTGAGCCACCGAGCCCGGCGCCAAAGCTCTTTTTAAAAGGGGCACGACCAGATCGCCACGGTCACCTGGGACGAGGCCATGCCCAAGAAGGCTTCAGCAGGTGACCCATTCTTTAATCCTCCTGCTTCCGAGGCCCCGGGAGAGCTGCTTCATCTCTCTCAACTTTCGGGGTTGAAATTTAAATTGAGCAATGAATATACCTCGTTTGTGAGGCCTCTGCGTAATAACAGTAAATATGCTTCTTAATTTACTGATTCTCGGTTTGGGTCCCTGGTTTGACAGCATCATTGTGAACGTATAAAAAAATGTAAGTTCTGGGACCCAACCTACAACTTCTGACATAGAAATCCTTGGGGCAGGGGTCTAGCTCATATTTGAGAATTGGGGTCTCTAAAAGTCATGGGTGGGGAGGGGAAGCAACAGCTAAAGTGGAAAATACTACATCCAACCTCCTGGGAACATGGGAAGTGACATGAAAAGTGCTTAGCACAGGGCCTGGGACATAGTGCTAAGTACATATATACAGTCTATTATTAGTAATCTTCACCAGAAGCTTCTCAAATATACAGTACTATAATAGGAGGATAAATTAGAGATCCCTCTTTGCAGAGTGAAATTTTTTTAAAGCATAAAGTACAATCACTCCCTGACTCGTCAAGTAGCATCATAGGTAATGGTTAAAATTTTTGCACAGGGCAACCCCCTTGTGTCCCCTCCCCCTGTGGGAGCTTTTCTGTTCTCTCAAAAAATCCTGCTTTTAAATTTTTTTTTTTTTTTTTTTTTTGGCATAAAAGCACACATGTATGCCTTTAGCTTAATTTAATTTTTTTTTAATATCACATGCAGGAGGGTTTGACTAGGTAAGTCTGTTGTCTAAAAGACACATTCCTATAGGCCATATGATTCAAAGCATAGAACTATCAAGACTTAAGTGGTCAGTGTAGTTAACATCATTTTATGTCATGGTTTATTTTATAAGATGCCATAGAAATAATTCATGTCTAATTCACAGAAGCAAGGACTCAAGCTTCTGCCTTCCCCTGTGGTCTCAGAGCAGGCAAACTCAGATACAAATGTGTGATCATGAGACGTCCAGCCTGAAATCCCAGCTCTGGGTCACCAGATCTGTTCCTACTCATCATAAAGACACTGCCTTCCCATTACCTGAACATGCAGCTCCCAAAAGAGCACTAAATCCTGGGGAGGTGTGAAAACTGGAACCACTGAGGTTCAAGGAGGCAGTCCCAGGAAGGAGCACTAATGAGAAGATAAAAGGAAATATTCTTACAGTCACTACTGCTCAGATTCCATTGGCCAAAACTCACTTTCATGGTCCCAAATTTAATATAATGGAAGGTGGAATGTGCTGCATGTGCAAAAGGAGAAAATAATATTGGTAAACGCCTACACAGTGTCTAGCTCAATCATCTATTTGACCACAAGATATCCATTTTGTTGTTTATCATCTACGTTCTACACTTGTATGCTCTTTTTAATGAGACAGCCAAAATCCTAACCAGTCAGTGATTGCATCTCAATATTGGCATCTCTGGATGATGTCATCTGAAACTCATGTCCAAATATTGTTTCTCAATGCTCAGGAAGCAACTAAAATACATATATGTACATATATACACACATATATGTATATGTATACATATACACCCACACATATATATTATATATATTACATTATCTGTCTTGAGTCAAACTCAATATAAAGTTCTATATCAGGGACATAATGGACCAATATACTGAAACAGTTGAAGAAATAATTGCCAGCAGATTTCTGTACAAAATAAATACATAGTCTAAGAAAGAGTGTGAAATAACACTATTTGAAGACCAAAACAAGAAATTTAATGGAAAAAAAATCCAGCATAAAATTACTATTTATTTATATTTTATTTTAAAGATGTGGGGTACAATTC